GAGGCTGCGACGCGCCTGCCGCATGTCGAGGCCGAGAACCTTTTCGGCCTTTGGTGTGCCTATGTACAACACTGGGGTCTTCGACTTGTTGGCGAGCGTTGTGAGCTCGGTCATTACAACTTGGTCTGATGTTCCATGGGTGTTAGCAGCGTTCTGGACCTCGTCTGGAATAAGTAGGCCGACACAGTGCTTGTTCAGTAAAATTCGCACTGAGGATTGCAGCGATGCGTCGGTTACACGGCCTTTTTTTACGTGATCTTCGACGTACGTGTTGTCTGGGATAAGTTCCGCAATCGCTTCAATGATGGCCGTCAGCAGTGCTTTGATTCCTCTACCATCTTTGGGCATCTCAAAGTGCAGCCAAGTGATTTGGTAGAGATCTAGCTCTCGGTGGTAAATGACTCTGGGATACCGCGCAAGCCATCGTTGGATGGTCGTCGTTTTCCCCATGCCAGCCACACCGATGAGTGCTGTCGAAAGCTTTGGTGTCACGGTTTCGTAGGTCTGACGGAACGCCTTTGGCTTTAAGGCGTCCTCATGAATTTGCTGGTAGATGGCGATGTGCTCCGCAGACATTGGTCGTCGCCCGACATAGCCCTCCCGTAGCATTGAGTCCAGGGCAAGTGCCAATTCGATATGTGATGAAAGTGGCACCATCAGATTCGTAAGGCTCAGAAGCTCGCGCATCCGGTCGTGGCGCGGCCAATGGCGCGACGATTCATCAAACTCTGGCAGGAATTCAAGGGACTGTACGATTTCTGTCTCGTTTAGCGGCAAAGGTAGCGCCTCTATGAGCACGTTCCCAACGTACCTCTTCTGCAACTGAGGTGTGCTGGTTGCCAGTTGAACGCTGGGAGGTTGGAAAGATTGCCTCAAAGATGCCTCCTACATTCGACGACGAAACTCTGCCATACGCTCTGCAAGAGTAGGGGGGCGAGGTGGAGGGTTTTTTTCGCGAGAGATGCTTTCCGCTGCTGTCTGGCATTGCAGTGTGTCCACGTGGGAGGTGCGTTTGATTGAAACAACCTTGGGATCCAGAGGCTCCAAAGCAAGTGGCGTGAACTCCTGGGCGTGTACGGAGCGCTGAATCGATAGCCCAGCCACGGCAGTGCGTTCATGCTTAAGTTCGGACGCCCGCGCTGGTGCCACATCTTTGCGGCGGCTGGAGCGCGACCGCCCCTTAGTAGCAATCTTGGTTTCCAAAATTGCAGCGTCAATGACAGGTTGTGTGAGTTTCCTGAATTCATAATTTGCCTGACGCTTTGATTCCTGGGCGTCGGCAGTCAGATGATCTATGTCCGCAAAGTGCTGCCGAACTTCTTTGAAACTCATGCCCCTGAATTCCACGCTGTCCTTCGTCAGCATGGCGACGAAAGACTCCCCACTTCCGTTCGGTGAGTAGATGATGATTTCATCGGCGAGGCGGGGATCGAATGCCACTTCGATAGGCTCACGCTTTTTCCGACCTTGCACGAGCCAACCGCGCTCCTTCGCTTCTGGGCAAGAGAAGAATAATTTTCTGAACGCCACGCCATCAGCGGTTACCACTGCTTTGTCTCGAGGCAGGAGTTCTTCCCGAACTTTGTCGAAATTCATGCGGTCGAGTGACCCCATACGACGGCGTACGCTGTGCTCGAAAAGTTCTCGAGGAACTGGCCGTACCCCATCGGCCACTTGCGCAATGGACAATGGATAGGCTACCTGCATCGTCTTATTGTGTTGGATGATCGCGGCGACGATGATCACCGTGAGTTCGTGAATGTTCAGACAAACTTGCTTTTCAACGTTGATGGCGCGACGCTTCCTGACTTCTGCATCAGGTGCATAGCCTGGCGTGTCGGGTGCGATGATTTGGTGAATCATCTTGAATCCGCATTCAACTAACGGCTTCCAGTCAGGCCTCAGCCCTGGCACATTTGAGATAGTGCAGCGCAGAGATCTTCCAATCCTGCGCGCTTCTTTGCTGATGAGCTCGCCTTGGTCTGCCAGGAACATCTCCGGCAGGACGCCGTGTGCAGGCCAGTCATCGGGGTCGTATGTGATTCCGAGCCTGTCGCAAAGGGCTTTTTTGTCTTCACCTATGCTTAGCAGCGCTTGCATTGCTGCGGAATAGCAAGCGGCCTCGAACCCGAGATACCAACCTACAATGAGGCGGCTGTGTCGGTCGATGATCAGATACAGCGTTGGTTTTCCAACTATGTTTCTTCGGTCCTTCGTTGATACCAAGGACACATCAACTATGGTCGCGTCGAACTCATAGAGGTGTCCGGCACCATGACATTCCAATTGGATGGACCCCTCAGTAGACCGGTCTTCCTGGGCAAATCGCTTCTCGCCTTTGCGACGGGTCAGTCGAGTTGAAAGGGGATAGTTCTGTTTGAGAAAGTAGTCCAACTGTCGGTAGCTGGGGCACTCTCGACTACTACGTAAACACTCGATTCCGTTCCCGTCAACGTAGGTGTAGTGCGTCTCATGAAGGTGTTGCAGGGTGGCCGTTAGAGTGCGCGCTTTCTTTTCGTGGAAGTAGTAGGTCTCAATCACTTCTCGCATGTACTGGCGGTCCTGATCGCTCAATTGATAAGGATTTAGTGCGGACGGGCCTACCTCTGCAAGCTCCCCTTTGGCTGCGCGTTTGCGACCACGGTTCCAAGTTCCCTTTGTTGCACCGCAAAGCTTGTAATTGCCAACTAGGGCGTCTATCGTCTGTCCTCCTTGCCACCAGTTCCGAAGATCTTTGAGTAGGGTCTTCGGCGTACCGCCTCCTGGTTGTTGGGCGCGTTCCACTAGCAGCGCGTGACGCGTTGTTGGGCTGAGGATGGCGGGATTGTCTACAAGAGGAGCAATGCGCTCGTACGCCCTCTCGCAAAGGACCAGACTCGCGGCGGACGGGGCGCGCTCAAACGCTTTTGTTGTGGGCTGAAAGAGATCAGAAGACTCGCGAGAGCGGGCGTTTTCGGCACCGGGCCTGATTCTGTAATCTAGGTTTAGTTTGGCTAAAGACTGCAGGTAAGGTAGCGCGAGTGGTTCATCAATGCGAATGAGCCAAGCGTACCCCGCCGCGAAGTCATCAGCGCCCTGAGAAGACCTGGGGATTTCAATGCGTAGGATGCGGTGGGGAGTGCCATTGGTGTACAGCACAACATCGTTTCTTAGGAATTTTGGAGTCAAGTTAAGCAACTCTTACGGAACGCAGCCTCCCTGGGGCTGCAGAAAACTGAAAGTTCGCTAACGGTGCGCGCTCGGGATCGGGGTTGTTCAAGTCCATTGCCAGAGTGCGATTGCCAATTAGCATGCGGGCGACTCTCATGCCTGTTCCAGCGCCAACACTGCAACGAGCGTCGTAGTTAGTGCAGTAGTCGGTAAGCGACCCGCTGAAGCGTGTTGCCGCGATGTCGTGGGCCATGCGTGCTTGGTGCTCAG